CTTCAAGCTTCCCTCTCGGTCCAGCCGAAAACCTCTTCTTCCCTTCGTTCCCTTCACCAGCCACGCTCGGACCGCTCGGAGCTGCCAGATTTCCAGGTGCCGGTCGGGATGTCATTCTCTCCGGTCAGGAGCTAGTGGGCTGGCGTGGCGGGGTACGGCAGCTGGTGGTGCCAAACGATTCTCTGACCTGGCATGATGAGTGCCATTGGTAGGTAGCACGAGCTTTTCCAAACAGGTTGTATCCGAAAGATCCATGTTTTGGGCATGCATTGGAGAGAAGCGCTCCCGTGACAATCCTGCGGCTCGCTTCATCGAGCGGGTCAATCATCTCCTCACGAACAGGTCAACCAAGACTTGTATATAAACTTCATCTGCATCTTTCATCTACTTTCTAGCAGCGGTAGCGCTGCAGAAGAGGTGTTCAACACGAAATAGTTTGGGGAAACCAAACCGCAGCGCGCCTAAGCACCAGCGTTGGTGGAAGCAAGTGACGAGTATGCACCCGACTCGTCTCAGAAGCGACACGGCCCGTATTAGGCAGAGCTGAAGTTATAGGCTTTAAGCAATCGTAGACCGGTCTTGACCACCGCTTCGGTGCTCCGCTTCTCCGCGTGGCTCAAGACGGTGGAAGGGACGTGGCTCAAGACGGTCTACCTGCGGATTCGAGGGGATCCGGGCGGAATATGGAGGTGGGCGAATGGAAACTCCTAGAGCCGAAGGGAGAGGCCATCAAGGGGCACCATAAGCATTCGGCGGTGATTTGGCGAGATCACATGTATGTCTTTGGTGGCTATGCAGGTGGTGTCCAGTCATGTGAGACGTGGAGTTTCAACCTCAAAGATCCAGAGTGGAAGCTGCTAAGCACTGAGGATGGACCTCCCCAAGCGCGCAGTGAACACAGTGCCATTGTTTGGGAGGATAAGATGATCATATATGGAGGCCTTGGTGACCAAGGTGGAAGGTTAAACACATGGAATGACACCTGGGCATTGGATTTGCAAAGGCGAAAGTGGGAGTTGTTCAGCGCAAACGGAGAACTGAAGCAGCGGTGGTGCCACCCTGCTGTTCTGTGGAACGACCACATGATTGTATGCGGTGGTTTCGAGGGAGGGTATTTATGCGACGCTTGGAGCTTCAGCTGGAGACGCAAAGAGTGGACCATGCTCACTGCTTCCATCCCTCCAGGTAGGCTTCAGCGCCACTCTGCTGTGCTTTGGCATGACCAAATGCTGGTGTTTGGTGGCGAATCGATAGACGGGAAGCAAAACAAGAGCTGGATGTGCAACCTGAAGTCCAAAGAATGGACACCGCTAAGCTTCAAGGACCTTCCGCCAGGACGCAATTCACATTCTGCTGTTGTGTACGGGGATCACATGATTGTCTTCAGTGGTGCCTTTGGTGCTCCTAACCTCAATGACACTTGGAGTCTTGACCTTGCAAGCAAAAAATGGAAGTTGCATAACCCCAAGGGCAAGCTGCCAGAGGCACGCTTTGGACATTCAGCCGTTCTATGGGGCAATCAGATGGTGGTGTATGGCGGTCGGGCTGGGTCCGACACCAGCCGCGAGATCTGGTCACTAAGCCTTACGTTGCCTCCGACAGCCCCAACGCCGCCGCTGGCCCTGGCGACGCCGCGCTCCGGGCGGCTTTGGCTGGACCCTTTGGTGCCGACGCCGCGGCAGGATCCAGAAGTCCTGGCGACGGTCCGTGTGATCACCGGCCCAGCCTTGGTGGAGGCCTGCCAGGCGATGGCTGCGCTGCCAGGCAATGCTCAGGTGAGAAGGTGTGAAAGATGGTGTAAAAGTAAATGGATTTCATGACAAAGTCAGCTGTTTTCACCTGACGTGGTGCCCAACCTTTTGATCTTGTTCAAGAGTTTTGGCTAGTAGTTTTGTCGATGTTTAGCTTCACACCTTGGCTGAGGTCCAGAAGTGGGGGTGTTTGACTTTGAGCCTGTGTGCTGGATTTGAGAGTGCAGCTGCTGAGGCGAAAGCTCCCAAGTTGATCATAGCAGCAATGAAGGCACATGTTGAGAACGCGCAGATCCAAGACTGGGGCAGCCAGGCTCTTGCGGCCTTCTGTGCCTTTGCCACAAGTTCTTCAGAGCTCATATCTCTAAACGCTCAAGTTTAAAGGGCATCTTTTTCCAAGCACCTTCGAGGTGTTGAGCGGTTATCGATTACGCATCCCTTCTGGGTCATCTCAGAGACGTGTAGGTAGGCGAGCAGCACATGTTTTTTTATTGTCAGTTGTTTGCAGCTTCCTTCTCCGGCAGCTTGCAGGTGCTGGAGCAGATCCCGAGAGCTGTGGTCGTAAGGAGCAGGCCATTGCTGAAGGTGCGCTGGAGGTACTGGTAGCGGCATCGAAGCAGGCAACTCGACCAGCAGGAATTCTTACACTCCCAAAGACTAACATCGACCCAGAGAATGGCACCGTGAAAGGCATTTATCCTCTACAAACCAGTGGTTTTCAGAGCTCATAATGGGTCCTTCGACAACCTCCTTCTACAGGTTTGACGTCAGGAAAGGCTCGATTTTCCCATAAACACTGGCCCCCTCAGCCCTCCACCTATGTCTTGACTTGGCCAGAGCTTTGGCAATTCAACTTCTGAGACCTGCCGAGGCCAAGACCAAGCGACAAGCCATCGGGGCGCTGGGGAACCTCTGCTCTGGAGAAGATGCTGGACGTGCTCAGCGCGTGAAGCAGTCGATAGATGCTCAAGTGCCGAAGGTTTTGAAAGACGCACTCAAAGATGACGACAGCTCGAGGACAGTGGGGAAATCTGCCCCCCCCTCCGACCTACTCCATCAGGATGACAACAGCTCGAACGGATATGTTGGGAAACTGGGTCCAGGTCGATGGCTCCTACCTGATATTACCGTCGTTTGGATAAACTGATCTAACTCGCGAAGACCTCAACTATATAAGACTACATATGTCAAAGCATGGTGGCCGAGGAAGATGAAAACACCAAGTGAAGCCTTCGCCTTTGCCCTCTGCGGGTTTGTACTTAGTTGCATAGAGAAAAAGATCCGGGTCGGGGGGGGGGCAGGACAATCCGGAAGGTCTTTGGTGCACTGGCAGAGCTGGGCAAGGTGGCCCCGGACCAGGTGTCCTCAGAGATTCTGGAACTCGTTGCCCGGCAGAATTTGTTGGGAGCTTGGGGCTTTTGGATGATTATCCGGTGGCTCACATGAACATCTGAGTGAACGTGGAACTATTGAAGTGGGTGGTTTTCAATAGCGGGAGGCGGGAGGTGATAGTGCTGAATTGAGACGGTTTCAGGCTCCATACTTTGGGTTTTCCGCCCGAATTGCAGCTTAAAAAGCCATCAGCACTATAGAGGTTAGAGGCCCCAAGTTATCTATGGAACAAAACAATTTCTGACTCTAACCAACCGGTAGTCGGAAGTTGTTCCCTAGCTGGGCAAAGCTTGCTTGCAGATGAGGGAGTTTCGTTCGACTGCTCCTTCCAGTTGCTCTTCAGTGTGAGATCGTCCCACGTCCGAGGTGGAGAGGGCTTTGGATGCCAATGCCGGGAACCAGGACATCCAACGCCTGGGGGAACGCATCCAGCAAGCAGCTCCGCAGCGGGAGTGCTCCAAAGACCAGCCCACCTACTGGTCGGGCCACATCGGTGATGAGGGCTGGGCAGCTTGCCCTGTGACAGGTGAAACCTTGAGCGCTCTCAGGAGCAGTGAGGGTGAAATGTATATGCAAGGTGTGGGTTTCATTTTGCATCTAGAAGTGCCACTATAAATAGATTGACCATGCCCGGTTTGACCCGAAGTATTAATAGCAACACTTGCTCGTTCGTGCTGCGCCACCGCCGAACTTGTTCAGGACGATGTTCGTCGTGAACCATCCGGCCGAGCTGGGCAGGGGTCGAGATGCCGACAGCTACCCCCGGAAGTACAACGACCTGCGCGTCCACTGCGCCTGGCGGATTGAGCATGAGGATGGTTGGGACTCGTTTGCCCTCGAGCGGTCCAAGGTGCAAAAGACCATGAAACGACTTCGTCAGCAAGGGGTGCCGGTTCAACGATGGCAAAGTAAGCTTGAAGAAGCTTGCCGAAGCAGTACTGTAGTGTTTTTCCATTATGTTTGCGCCAGTTTCGGTCAGTTGTGTACATTGAAATTGTCTGGAAAAAACCGCCTGCGCATGTTCACGAAGATGAAGCCCATTCTTTCTCCAAAGCCGTGAGGAAGCATCGAAGAGTTTGCCGGGATCCACATACCTCCGCGAAACTGGAGAGAGGTTTTTGCTTCATGGGTGCAGCCCAGAAGTTGTGCTTGGCATTCTCCACAGCGGCTTCGATGACAAAGTCACCAAGAAGGGAATGTTCGGTGCAGGTTGCTACTTTGCCGAGGACCCCGAGAAAGCCGACCAGTATGCTCGTCCTGATCCACATCATAAGGCATCTGGGCTTGAAGAACTTCACGCCCGTTTGTACAATGGTGAGAATACGCATCCCGAAGGGGATGTGTTTTATTGTTTCGCCGTGCGAGTCGTGTGCGGTGCCTGCGTTCAAACCAAAGGTTTGGACAAAAGCCGCCCGACGAAAGACGCCCTTAGTGGGGAAGAGATTTTCTTCAACGCAGACCTAAAGCAGCTGGTTGAGATTCCTGGCACCACGCCACCTGAAAGGTACCACACCCTGGTGGTGAATCCCACGTCGGAATCCACTGGACGCTCTGTGTACAGAAATCGCGAGGTCATCTCCTTTAAGGGAGCAATGACATACGCCGAGTACTTGATAGCATTTACTAGGGAATTGACTTGATGCCTCACTCTGAGCGCATCTATGTTGCATCATTTCACGCTTCTGGGGTGTAGCATAGCAGAAAAATTGTTTTGGGAATGAACTCAGATATGTAGATGGCCAGTCCGCAGCTACGACGTAGTCACTACGCCTGGCATTTGGCCATGCAATTCTGCTGATCCTTTGTTGACCTCACCCCAGAAGAGCACAAAGATGCTAAGAAGGCCGAAACACCTGCCCGCAGGGCGAAGTGAAGCAAAGGTGTCCAAGGACATGTCAGATCTAGTGTCCAAGATGCGAGCATCAGCCTAGTAGAGGAACGGATGGTCTTCGCAAGCTGTCCAACAACAACTGACTGGACTTGTGCATTCGTGGCCGCCCACGCCGGCCCACGCCTTACGCCAACGTCGGTTCTCTTGAAGTGCACCGAGGTCGACCTGAAGCCCAGTTCGGCCTTTCCCTGCCACTGCACGGCAGGAGGGTGGACGGGATGAGAATCCGGCTGAAAGAGAAGTTGAAACGTGCGGAAAATGAGGTGGGGCGGAAGGTCATGTGAGTTGATGCTCCAAAGCAATCGTCCAACAGGTTCAAGGTCGGTAGACATGGGGTCAGTATCGTAGGATGTGTAGGTCATGTAGATTTTGCCATCCGAATTGTATAGATTGCATCTCCAGCACCTCCAAGAGCCTTGAAGCTGCAGATTCTTCTCGGTGGTTGGTGCGGGAAGTCATTGAAGTGGAACAGCACGACTTCAGAGATGTCCCAAACCGAACTGAGCAAGGAGAGATGTTTTCTAGCTTCTCTCTATACTTTGTTTGCTTGTCTCAGCTGGAAGGGTCAATCCACTGTGCCAGAAGAGGGGCCTCCGTTGTAAAGCAACGCTTCTTAACGCACTTTCACTTATGTCAGGCTTCCATGCAGATGACCGTCACCATTGGGTTTGTTTTGTGTGCTACACAAGATGACCTCCTAGAAGGCCATTGGCCTACCTTTGCTCTTTGATTGACTCCTTCTTCTTCTCCTTCTTCTTCTTCGTCTAGCATGCAGGCCTTTGCGGCGGCTGAGCTGCGCATGGGTGGGTGGCAACTGTGTTTCGTGAGGAAAATGGTGCGGTTGGGCGTGGCCGGGTTTTCTTGGAGCTTGGCTCACAGACTGAGTGACTATCCCTTCACCTAAGAGACCTAACAGTACCAGTCTCCCTTTACAATACTCTACATGCCCAAGTGGCCCCCCTGCAAGTAAGCGAGACATCAATTTCCAGACAGAGGGCCGTGGTCTCTTTTTGCCCAGTGGAGATCTGGTTTTGCAGCTGCTATGTGCATGTGGAAGTGTTTTGGGGCTTCATGGTCTGCCAGTGTACTGGTTGAAAGGAGAGAACAAAAGGTGAAACCCCTAAGGTTATGACCATCTACCCTTCGCCTCTGACCTCTTGAGACCTTGATTCTTCCTTTCAGCCTGCTCTGTGTCTTTTCCTCTTCAGCCGGTGCCGTTTTTTCGGGATCGATGGATCCCCTCCGGCCCTTCGCTCGCTCTGCGGTTCAAGGAGCCGGTGAGGTGAAACCGCCTTACGCAGCCACCGCGGTCCGCGGTGGAGCGGAACCTCTCTCCTCTCCTTCCGACCGTCGGCGCGCGCGCGCGGCAAACCGTCCGGACTGGGAGGATGGCAGGTGGTTCAGCATGAAAGGACTGGAAGAAAAGGGCAGTGGGTGGGGCAGATTTCGGGGAGTAGACGACCTATTTCATGGCAGAAGGCTGTTGACATCGGTTTCCTTTCTGCAGCCATGGGGTGGAGATAGTTTTTTGGAGGACCCTGTGTGGTTTGCAGGCCTAGTGATCTTTAGTTGGGTAGCTGGGTGGTACTGTGCGTGGAGAAGAGCCAACTTCATGGGCTGGTGTCTCGACAAACGCAGGTGTTGCGTTCTGTAGGTTGGGGGGGGTGTCGACTGGCACTTTTGGAGGAAAAAACTTTTGCACTTCCTTCAGGGCTTTTCTCAAAGCTTTCGGCTTCAAGCCTCCATTGAACGGACACGCGTCCCAACAGTGTCGTTTTTATTCATTTGCGCTTCTGTGACTCACTCCAACGGATGTAAATACAATGCAAAATGCATCCAAATGCGCGCGCAGGACATCGAAGAACCTCATTTTTATCACAGGTCTTCCAATCTAGCAATGTGTGCATTGAGCTCGCAGGAGGTGCGCATTTGGATTTTCCATAACGTCGTCGGACCCCCCATGCCCTTGCCAGGACACCTGGGCGGGCCAGGCGAGGGGCTGGTGGCAGCACCGAGACCGCCCCCTTACTCTGGATGGTTGGCAACTCCCACAGGTCACCACTGTCATGGGGTTGCCATGGTCGTAGCTGTCCTAGTTCCTGTGTCATGTTTCGTTGCTTCGCTCGCAATATATATATATATACCCTAGGCTTCCAACAACCATTAATTTAAGAGGCTGACATCCCGAACCCACTCAGGATTTTACACAAGAACCAGGTCGTTCCCATTTTTTAATAGTCAGACGAAAGTCTAGGGACTATACCTTGCCCTTTTGAAGCTTTCCACCAAGATCCTGGGAGGGCGAAGCACCCCCGTTGCTTCCTTGTCGGAAGGGCGGGAAGCGCCGGGGAGAAGCCGCGGGGAGGTGTTCCGATGTTTTTTCAGCTGTGACACCTTTCAGAGGAGAAAACACATTTCAAAGCAGATCTTGAATCAACGTGTCAATTGACCTACCTCGTGGATGCAGTCATTGACATAATTGCAGTTGTGACTTCGAGAGGGTTCTTCAGCTGCAAACACCAAAGAAGCGCGCTAGGCCCAGCTGAACCCCCCTAACTTCCCAAGAACACCCAGAGAAGGGCCCAGCTGAGCCACCCCGAAGTCCCTGTACCGCTGTACCGCACCGCGCACCGCGCAGCTGTACCGGGCCCCGGAGGCGCCCGGCAGCGGCGGGAGAACTCGGATGCCTCGGTCTCCAGCGTCTCGGGGTGCACTGAGGCGGTGGGTGCCGGGGGGCACTGAGGCGGTGCCGCACGAGGTGAGAAGAAGCCACTGAAGATGTTTTTAAGGAAAAAGCCTCCAGCTTGGAATTGAGGGAGGGCATGAGGAAACGTGTGTTTTGTTGAGGATTTGGTTCTGAGGTGCGGGGAAGTAAGGCGTGCCAGACTTACGCTGAGTTTGCTCCAATTTTTGTGTTTTTTGTTGAGGGGGGAACTCGAGGTAACCTGAAGCCAAGATGTGGTTGCTTGAGCTTGAAGGCTTAAAGGCGGAATGTTCATGAAGTTTATGAATGTACTTGAAAGTCATTCATGCAACATGAATCCAAGTACTTCTCCATCCTTTGGACCATCTCTGGACTCTGGACGCGAAGCTCCACGAAGCTCGTCTGAGCCACGTGTCTTGTCTTTCTGGGTCGGCCAGTCTGTCAGACCGCCTACACCCGGGAAGACTAACATGGAACCTGACAATTGACCTTTGGAAGGCTATTTTCCTCTACAACCCAGTGTTTTTCAGGTCCCACGTTAATTTTCCGGAGTGTAATGGTTCTTCTTCTTCTTTCCATCCACCTCCAGGGTGGTGCATCATGTGGGACCGCCTACGGTTCGGTGAACGATCCTTCCTCTATGGAAGACACGGATCCATGTTTCCTCGGACAGCGAAAACCCTTTTGATGTCGAAGACAGGGTGATTCAGACGGGTCCGAACACGGGGTGATGGTCGGACAGGATGCAGGTCGGACAGGGTGGGGAAACCACTTCCACTGTCAACCAGGGTGGCCATGATGTGTTCGTCGAAGGGTAGGGCCTCTCCCCATGACCCGACGAAGGCCATCACCGCAGCTGCCATGGACCCGACGCAGGGACCGCCGCCGAGGTGGTAGCCACGCTGGGAGCCATGCCACGCGGTGGAGCAGCCGACGTCAGAGTGGGACCAGGTGGGGGAAGTGAACAAAACAGGGGGAAGCTGAGGAGTGAAAACCATGGGAGGTTCTAGCGTTTCAATCGCATTTTCGACGGATTTTCGAGTGATTTCGAGTAACGAATCCCTGCCCGGTTTTTGTATGACCCCTGCCTGGTTTTTTGTAGGACATTGGGGGGGGTCTAAGGTGGGAGTCATGTTTTGGTTGGTTTCCGATCGATTTTGGGCAGCCGAGATCCCGAGAGGTAAAAGAGACGCAGCGGCAGCAGACCGGTCTTGCGGTTGTGACGGTGAGTGACTGGGTGCCAGGAGAGTGACCATATCGGATAAGGGCATGGCGGCGGGGCGAAGTGTTCCAGACGAGAAAAGAGGTGAACATGGGGAACTCTGAAAGCATCTTTCGACATTTTTCGGCACGCTTCGGTGGTTCGGGCCTGGTAGGTCTTCTGGGGCTAGTGTATACGGTTGCTTGGAAGCTCAAGATGCGAGTTTCTTGGAGTTCTTAACGAGAAACGTCTCTTCAAGATCAGGGAGACACCACGGTTCATGAATGTGCATACCACTCATCACCAGGCACCACTCGGATCATAGAGTGATCCCTAAATGTATATAGTCTGTATATTGTCACTGAATGCAAAGGTTTATTGAAGAATTACACACCAGGAGTCACAAAAGGGGTGCCCAGAACATCCACTCACTGGATGGGACTAAAGGCCACCCCGACATGTGACTCCTGGAGGATGACCTCTTGTAGAACTGGATTTTTTCCAACCATACCGCCGGCCGCCTGCGGAATCTGCGGATCCGGCCAACGCGGGCAGGCGGTCGATCGGCAACTTGTTCCCCCTCACAGGCGCCATCGCCGGAACAGCGGCGAAGGGTGAAAGGGGCTGGATGTGGAGCTGAGAGGGGTGAGAGTGAGGCCATGTGAGGCCCTTTCCAGCTTTTTACACCATTTTTAATTACATGTCCCTTCGACAGGCCATGTGCCCGTCTGGAGGGCTTTTCCGCGCTTTCTACCGTCGTCAGGTGCTGGCACCGCCAAGCATATGCTCCACGTGGCCAATCAGATCTCCGCTAAGGTGAACCAACTGCCTCTCGGACCGAAAG